GGGACCGAAGAGCGAGTACCAGATAACACTCGGTGAGGCAACGGCTCAACCGACGGTGCACCACCACGACGCGGCACCGAAGTATAGGTTGCCGTAATCATGCGTCCAGGTCCAGCATCGAGAGTCCAAATAGACGGACGAGGAGACACTGGAACAGGAAGAGAAGATGCTGGTGCCGGAGAACTTGCTGGTGGCGAAGGAGGCGGGCCGGCAACGATGATTGGGGAAGTCATCATCGGCGAAGGATTTGGCCGAGGTGGAGTCGGAGGACGAGCTGGGCCAAGATTACTCCAGTTCCTGTTTGAATCTTCAACATCTTCGTCATCGAGTATGCTTGAATGATCGGTGGGGGGCGGAACATCACCGCTACCACTGGGAGCATCAGAAGAGTCATCCACCGAAGATTCATTGTCATCCACGTCATCTCCACAGTCGTCATCAGCATTCACATCGTCATCAATCTCCATCGAAAGGCCAGGCGAAGACACGCTTGGTACATCAGTCGTGGGAACAGTCGGAGCCGACTTCGAAGACGCGGAAGCTAGTGGAGCAGCCTCAACAGGGGCAAACCCTGCTGTAGTAACCACTCCCGAGACTTCAACTGCCTTGGATGTCGCGGCAGACGCCGAAGCAGACTTGCCTTGTGGGACAGTCTGGTTTGACTCTTCATCTTCGTCACTCGAGCCAAACATGAGCCGCATTTCCTCGGCCTCGCGCAGAGCCTCTTCAGCAGCACGTATGTCGGCTGGAGAAGGTGAAATCGTTGAAGCTGGTGACTTGGCCACATCGTGTGGACCCTGAGGCGGGGGCGAAGGCGCGTCAGGAGAGACAGGAACATCGTCGTGATCCTCAGGGTTCACGTCCTTACCCGAAGGCTCTGTAGCAGTTTCTTGAACCGAAGGGGCGCTGCCTGGATCAGCAGTCCCCATGTCCACGTCACTCTGGTCGCCGCTGAGGTCGACCACTGCGGGAGTCGAGGAAGACGCTGGTGTAGGAGGTGGCGACCATGAACTTGGAGAAGACGGTACAGACTTGGACCGAATCTTCATATGACGTCGTGGCGACTTAGCAGGAGAATGAGGACGGGGTTTCTTGCGCTTCTTCTGGGCCGCCTTCTTCCACGCCTTCGGACCGAACAGCGATCTACGAGCCGACTTGGGAGTTGAAGTATCGGCAGGTGGCGCATCACCGAGACCGGCAGCTGCCATCGAAGCACTGGCCTTGTCCGTTGGGATTGGAGCCTTGTCTTCGTCAGAGTCGTCCGGATCGTCGTCTGAATCCTCGCCACCTGGTCTAAGACGCTGATGGGACTTCCCATGG